CTCGCGCCATGTTGTGTCCTTTTCTCGCTCGCGGGGGGGGGGGGGGGGGTTGGTGAGAATGGAAGGACCAGTCTAAGAGAATGCTGGCTCAGCTTACCCATTCGCAATAAAACTGAGGAAGCGGCCGATCATAATAACAGGAGAGATCGCTTTTGATATAACTGGTGGACTTTGTGGATACAATCGAACAGAACCTTTTCTATATTTGATGCATCGGCACAAGGGAATTAAACTTATCCCTTCCTTTTTTTCTAAAAGCCAATTGCCGGGTGCATGGACGGTTAATTGGTTAACAGCTTCAACAGTGTTGTTATTTTGATCATGTCACGGTGGGAAAATCTTTGCTCATTGTGATTAACAATTGATATTTGCTTTATTCATGTAATTCACATGTTGGGGATTATTCACTAGATACAATCTTCACTGTTTATGTTTATTAAGTAATGAATTGATGTAAGGAATCATGCACAATTATTTATTCATGCACATCCAAAAGAGGAGTTGATGTGGCTACACAGTATAGAAAGTGCACAAAGTTTAATAGATCGTTGCAAAGAATCTATTTAAACGGAACACAAATTATCACCTTTAGATTTGTTAATGTTGTAGCGATATGATGTTGACATTCACTCCTTAATATAAGGTTATTTAATCACACACAAGACCGAGCGCAACGTAACAGTACTATTAAGCTGGCTCGGAGGATTTTAGTCCCTAGATGAAAACAGTTAACCCTTGCAGGTAGGCCCACTGCAAGGGTTAATAAAGAGTTTGCCCAGAGTTCTCCTTAAAGACTGATGGGTTCCATTAAAACTATCAGTTTTAATGTTAACTGGTATATGCAGTATTGAATGAAGAAGTGAATGCAAGTTTTAATTGGATCTTTAGCTCCATTTCAGTGGATCTTCATTGAAACATAGAGGTTCATTTATAAACATTCTGCCTTTGTGTATAGCAGGGGGAGTGCTGTTCACATGGCACTGGCAACCCTTGATGGCTGACAAGTATAGTCATTTCTATACACCAGACAAAACCTTTAGAAATAACCCCCTTGCTGTTACTTTCAGTGCAGTAATATGAGCACTGTTAGCCAGGGGTAAGCTAGGAAATCTCCTACAGGGGTTATATTAGCATTTGGGGTAAGATAACGTTAGCTTAGTTTTAGGATCAGGATTTTAGGGGTTTGAGTTTGAGCATTATAAGTATGGTTCAGGGTATAAGGGGTATGTTTTAGGTTAGCATTAGGGAAAGAGGTTAAATGTTAAGAGCCCATTTTAGTGGTTAGATTAAAGAGAGTCTTGCCCTCTATATTTGAAAGTCTACATAATGCTATACAAATTAGGGAGGGGAAACATATTTAGCTGTGTGTAGTCTTAGTTTGAGCTACTGTACTAGTTCAAGATAAATTAATATGAAATATTTGATATGTACTTTACATAGAAAGGGACAAAATTAAATATATTTTATTACTGGCCATGATAAATAAAATGTGTAAATATTAAAACAATATATACATTCCTTTTACAAATTGTTAGGGTACCAAAAAAACAGACAGGAACTAAAGTGCAGGTTTAAAAAATAAAAGGAGATTATTTAAAATAACAATAAACAAAAATGGCAAAAATGAATGGAGGAAGTCCAGGACGTTGTCGGTGCAAAGCCAGAGTTTAGATGCCAAAGCGGGTAGTCGGCCAAACTAGGTAAGGGAACACTGAGAGCAGGATGAATGAAAACAAAAGCCGAATCATACATGGAGAACAGTAACAACTGCAGAGCACATGATTGATCTGAGCTGATGGTTAAATAGTGAACTGGTGTTCACATTATTCTTAGACAGGAACTTTTTGTCAGTAGTTTGGTTAGTAGTTGCAGATTGATGATGTTTATGGGTTTGGTCATAAGAGGGTGCCAAAGTGGAACAGTGTCAGACACACTGTACACCAGGGCTCAGAGCACAGACATCAGTAACAACACACAGTACATAGGTCAGTGGTGTAATGCCGAATACAGAGGCCAGCTGTGTGGCGCAGAGTACAGAGATCAGTAACACTGCAGAGTGCAGAGGCCGGCTGTGTGAAGCACAGTACAGAGGTCAGCAGTACAGAGGTTAGCAGTACAGTAGTCAGTAATGTAACGCAGAGGTCAGCGGTGTAAGGCAGAAAAAACAGAGACTTACAGCAGCTTTGTTGAGCCTCCCTTCAGGTGCTGTGCTGCAGAAATGTACAGAGGTCAGCAGTATGGTGCACAGTGGGCATTTCTACACATATTATGCAAGAATATCAACTTATTACAACCAGGAAACCACCCTGAGAAATGCCATACAACCATTACTGAATTGTAGATATGTGGACAGAAAGTGGCTGCAAAGAGGATGCACTAGTTCAGCAGCACAGAAATGCAACAGAGGATATAAACATTTTAAATTGGTATTTTATTTAAAAATATACATGGCAATTGTTTATGATACCCAGTGCTTTGGCAAACTAAGAGGGTTATTCACAAAGCTGTCGAAGGCAGCCGAGTGAACAACCAACCCGAAGTGAAGTGAGCCGAACGCTGTTCGGCTATTCACTTCAAGGGCTGAAAGCAGCCGTACATCGGCTTGCTTCAGTTCGGCCAAACATGCTCAGCTCCTTCGGCCAGCTTTGTGAATAACCCTTTAAATGTAATTCACTCAGTGCTTTCATCTACTTAAAGGACAGCTGTAGCTTTCTTACTCAAACTCAGATGACATACATACACTTACCCTGTACTACAAACCAACTTGCACTTAAAAGAAAATTGATTTTAGTTCCATACTGAGCCTTTTACCAATCTTCAAAATGGACCCTGCAAACAGTGTGGTGTGGTCTACCAAGGGTTTAGCAAATCCGGCTTCAAATTGGGTGAGCCCAAACTCAACCATAAATTAAAATTAAAGGCCCCCAATAATAAGAATAAAAGGCAACAAAGATGTTGATTGCCCAAAGAGTGGGTGTGGCAGTGCTCAACCACTCATTCTGTTCACATTCTATAGGGCAATCTGCTGAATCAGTATGCAGGAAATTGAGAAAAGCATATAGACTTTACTCAAAATAAGTGTCCTGTAGGTGGTAACATACTTGTGACATGAAAATAAACTAGAGAGTGAAAAGTACTGGTGATGCAGACACATAGGGGCGTAATAAATTACAGTATGGTGTTACATGCCTCAAGGGATACTGGGTACTAATGCTAGACTGAGCATACCTGTGCATATTATTAATGTTGCCTGTGGGTGATTGTTGCGGTGACCATATTTTAACTATTTACTTACTTTTTTTTTTTTTAAATAATAAATGTTTATTAAGAGTTTAGTACAGGTAACATAAAAGACAGGCAGACATAGGGATCAGCGCAGTTTCAGGTCATGCAGTCACAGCTCTGCATGAGACACAAGCATTTTAAGAGGGCCAGAGGGAATGGGGGCCCGGACCCAGGATTCCAGGAGAAAAAGAGTAAAAATAAGGCATAGGTCAGGCCCCATGTGTCTATAGTGCAACACTAGGTCCAGGAGGAGCATCAACACATGGCTATCTTACGCAGCCCTGGGCAATAAGTGCCACCGCTAGGAGTTGCCTCGTCTGGCTGCCGCCATAGATAAGCTCCGCCCCCCACTATTTACTTACTTTAAGCGTGACAAGGTATAAAGCAAGAATTGTTCTGATTCTGTAAAAGCATTACATTGAAAATATTGAGATATTCCTTAGATAAATTATATTAGAAAAAATGATGCAAAGGTGGAACTGTCCCTTAAGTTGTTTATTATGCCAATACCAGTCCAACATGTTTCATTACATGATAATTATAATTTCTAAAGCTTACAGGCCTCCTCGACGTATGCCCTTGGGATTAAGTCAGCAGCACAATGAGTATTCTTCTTTCAGTACTTTTCATTGAATGATTACACCTCTTATACTAGCAACGTATGCTTCGTAGATAGCTGACTTTATGAAGGCATGTACAACCCCATTGGTTAAAACTTGTATGCCGTATTACAGAATTACATTGTCTTGCTCTTCCAAGGTTTTAAAACCATGTGATTAATTTTATTGATTATAAAACAAACAATGTCTGTTGTAGATGAGAGGAGATACAGATGCATGGTGTTATTGTCTACTTTTTGTTAACAAGTCATTTTGTAGAAATTTATTTTTTTGTTAATACTGTCTGCAAGGTACATATACCAATCAATTCTAAAATGTGAAATGAATTAGGCATGGATACCATATGGAAGCCATGCAGAAGCCACAACCAGTTTCCCTAAAGTATAGCAGATTGCTATAGGGTTAAAAGTTGAAACATAAAACACAACAAGAGGACAAAAATGTATACAGTACTGCTCTCTGTGATTTCAAAGGCAGTTGTACACAGAAAATGTATTAGGGTACAGGTCTGAGAATAATCAATGTTTATGTCCATCGAACTGAACACTGTGAGGAATGTTATCTTGGAGAAATGTCAAGATACATGGTATGTGTTGGAAATAACTACTGAAGATGTGGAAAGACCAATGGCGTGATCTCAAAATACTTAACTTACAATATCTACTTTATTGTAAATTTAAATCTATGTCCAATTTACTAGCTTAATCAATATATACTGTAAGTTCACAAACCGCAGCATTTTTACACAATAAGATGATTTTTTAGACTAAATCTAAAACAAAATGTTCATCTTACAATGGGCATTTGGTCAAAATTGTTTTTTTTTGTTTAAGTTTAAATAATATGTTCTCTTACTACTCTAATCTTGTTTGCAAAAAATTTACATTTATTAAAGGAATAATTGAATTACTATATTTTCATTAATCTGACTCTCAGAAACTATGTATTGCCATTTAACAAATAGCTATGTTAATACTCTTGTTTTACAGCTTTTGGTCATAATGAATGCCCTGATCCTGGAGTGCCAATAAATGCTCGTCGTTTTGGGGACAACTTTCAGCTGGGAAGTTCTGTCTCAGTTGTCTGTGAAGAAGGATTCATCAAGACTCAAGGCACTGAAACCATTACTTGCATGCTGATAGATGGGAAAATTATGTGGAGTGGTCCAATTCCAAAATGTGAAGGTCTGTCACCTCATTTTTTTGTTTAAAATTTACACTTTTGAGTTTAAAATTGACTTTTGTAAATCCGAATTGTACATGTTCTGTGAAGAAATGGAGTTTCCACTGTCCTAACATGCAACTGTAAACATTCTATAGCAGTTATAAACGTATTTATGTCTGAATACTGTATGTGCCCTAAAAACCTATGTTCAGCTTCAAGTGGCTTTGCAAGCAAAACTTAAACTTGGCAGTTTTTGCCATCAGAAAGGAGCTGTTTGAAAATGTCTTGGCAATGGACTAGAGACCTTAATAGAAATGTGAATAGCAAATTTGGCTCATAGCTGATCACAGCTGCCATAGCCACTGTCTTACATCTGCACACATGCTATTATGCTCAGTAGTGTTCGTTTGTGCACTAATGCGTTACTTGGCCCACTAGAAGAACCTTCAAAAGACCTATTATTTTCATGTCTACCTGTTATAGAGGCAACTAGTCTGCTCTGTGGATACACTCCTTTGGTCTAGATTTTCTTTATTTTATTACAGAGATTTAAATAGCACCATCAATTTTTGCAGCACTTTACCTGCTATTTGTTCACACTAGACGCTTACGATCTAAGGTTACTATCTCACATGCACAAATTCTAGGGCCAATTTAGTCAGCATGTCTTTGAAGTGTGAGAGGAATCCAAAGTACAAAGACAAATATCACGCAAGCAGTGGGAGAAAATACAAGCTTCTTCCAGATAATGTCCTTGGCAACTAAGGACCAAGGAATGGCCCCCCTTGCCTTCCTGAATGGCCTCCCTTTTCTCTGGTCACCATCTACCTAGACCTCTGATTCATTAGTTGACCTTGTGTTCATCTTTTTCATGGTGCAACGGTTCAGTTGTTTGACTTTGAGGCTATTGTCCCTTAGTCTGTCCCCAATGATTATTCTGTATGACACCTTGTAGTCACTCTATCCAGCTGGCTGCTCCCAGTGAGGCCATTCCAGTGCTGATACTCTAGGATTTATCTGCACTTTAACATCCCTGCCATCAGGGGCCACAAACCTCCAGAAGGGGCCTTTAGACACTTCTGGAATGTGTGCCCCTTAGTGACTGTCCCTCACTATCCTGCTGGTAACACAGAGCATCCCCTACTCTCTTTGCTCTCACTGCAAAACTCTTACTTTCTGGTGAGAGATCTTTACTTGCTGTTCCCTCAAAATATATGGGTTCTCCACTTTAGGGTATGTGCTAACTGCTCTCAACTGACAATTTATGCTGTCTGAGAACAACCAATGAATCATTTGCAGAACTTGTTAAAACTGTGCTTAGCTTGAAGCAGAAGGTAGTTTTGTTAGGTCTTTGCACACTTGAGCTAAAGCATAATGGACTAGTCTTCAATGTAAAGTATTTGTGGAGCCAATTTCATTGTTGGGAAGTCTACATTCTACTGCATTTATGTGCAACTATTTTTCATATTACATTATTGTACAAAATAGAAAAACTCTTTTTAGCAATATTTTTAAGATACTTATATGTCTATGGTATGCTGTAAGATTTGCCTCATACATAATTGGTCACCCAAAGCACTTCATTACTGACATATCTAAAATGACTTTCCTAGAAATGCTGATGTTAAAAATGAGAGAAGTCAGAAAATAGGTAAAATAAATAAACTCAATGATATATGAAATTATTTCTCTTTTGCACAGATGAGTTGCCTCCGTTTTTTATGTGGAAATATTCTGACAAGACAGTTATTAATCTTTAGCCTGCTTTTTAAGTATATTTTTGGTCTGCACTTATATTCATGATGATAGAGTCAATAAAAAAACATAGTATGCAGTATTTTAATTACTGTGAGTTATTTGCTATTTATTCACAAAATATTGTATTTATAGCAAATATGTAATATTTTTACATTTTGAAGTATTTTGTACATAAAAGTAAATTCCAAAAAAAAAGCATTTTAAAATAGTACTGCCTTGTGGCAGGCGTTAAAGTAGAACTAAACTCTGACAAAGGAATATTTTATTTTGCAGAGTACTTTAACCCCTTGAAGTCCGGGGTGTTACACCCCCTTCCCATCCATTTTTCAGTATTCAGCGCTGCGGTACGTTGACTGAAATGTATTCCGTCATGCAACGCTCTACTGAAATTAATGTTATACCCTTTTTTGGGGACAGATAAAGCTTTCTTTTGGTGGTATTTAATCACTACTGCAGGTTTTATTTTTTACTATATTAAGGAAAATTTACAGAATTTAAAAAAAAAACTGTTTCCCCTATATTAAATTCTAAAACATTTATCATCACCCAATTTTTTGGTAAAATATAAAAGACGGGGGTCACGTCGGGTAAAAAGACACCAAACATGTCAAGCCTTAAAATTGTACACGGGCGCGAAACCTCAAAAAACGACATTACCCAAAATTGGCCATAGGCGACGCTTTAAAAGCTTTTACCGCTCATCAGTTTAGTGTTGTTAGTGATTGATGGCCCTAAAATGATTGCTCTCACTCCGATGTTCGCGGCGATATGTAACATGTGTAGCGCAATTGTCGTTTTCGCGCGCTGACATCTCTGACACACATTTACGTTTATATGTGCGTAAATGAAGGGGGGGAATTAAAAAATTTGGGGGGGTTGTTTTACATTTTTTATTTGTGACTTTTATTTTTTTAAACTTTTTTTATTTATGTATATATTTTTTTTACACTTATTAGTCGGCCCCGCATGCTCTCAAAATACCTGAACAATGCTTGCATCCAGTCAGATCAGTGTCCTCCATCCATACAGTTTAATGTAATGTAAATCAACCCCATATTGTCACCGTTGACACTGCCGCCCCTACAGAGAGAGTTAGCTTGGGCCCCCCAAAGTTTTTCTATGGAGCCTCATGATTTGAAATTTTGTCCCTGGCATTAGATCAATGTTGCTGCATTTACTAATTTCCAGGAAAAGGTGAACTAAGCCTTTAAAATACACTTTAAGGGGTTGATTTACTAACCTTATAAACACACTACGAACATGTATACACCTCTGTAGTGTGTTCCCTCCCAGCATGATCTATGGGTGGAATCTAAACACCTTTGTAGTGTGTACACACCCAACAGGTGCGTTGTGCAAAGCCAAGCATGAATTGCAAGGTGATGTTGTGTAAATTAGCTCTATGTTGTGTTGCTTGCGTTGATGAATGCAGGAATGTAAATGCATGAGCTAACCATTTTTGTCTAAACTGTGAAGCAGCATTATATATGCATCATGTGCATGATTTTTCCATATATGGCATTAGTGGAAATATGCTTTTAGAGACTTTTTGGTTGATAAATACGTTTTGTTGTGTGAAAATCACACGCACCTGGTGCGTGCGTGTGTTTAGGTTAGTAAATCACCCCCTAAATGTGATTTATCTTGTTGTCTAGAGTTGATTTTTAATGCAGAAAGTGTATGAGATTATGGTTTTCAACAAAAGTTCTTACACAGTGAAAACACAGAAAAAATATGACTGTAACAAAATATAATATAAGTTCATTGATATAGAATTTGGAATGCTTGGCTTTTTGCAGGAATGGGCTTATATTTCATGTGTGAAGGTAGAAGCTTATAACTTTTGTGATTGAGTACATTTCCGACTCCGGAAATATGTCATGCGCCCTATAAAAGTAGCACAGTGACAGAAGATTTTTGCACATCATTAAATCATTCTTGCTCAAATGTAACTTTTCAGATATATGTGCAAGGCAATAACTGATGTTCTGGTGTTCATTTCAGGCAAGGTCTGTGTTACTTTTCAATCTAAACTTAAGAAGATGACTGCTAGAAACTCAATAAGAAAAATGAATTCCATACGCTTTTCTTATATAGTTAAATTTGCAGCATGCTGAAATCTTGTGGAGAAAAAGGTTATAACTGTAGGAAATATGTAAACCTTGAATGTCAGTTCTTTAAAGGGAAATTCCACCTTTTAGAAAAAATAATCTTTGCACACATCATAAAATAAAAGATGTGCATTTAGTATTTTTTGGCATTGGAGCCAGTGAAGCATTGCAACCGCGATCAGTGGATCATGGGTGCAATGTTGCGGCTGCTGCAGACTCTTTCTTCCGTCCATGTCCAGAACAGACATTCAGTAACATGGAGTAAGAATGAATAAGGTTTTGTTCACATCTACAGGGTTATTCACTAAAGGTGAAGAGTTTGGAGATGGTAGGAGAAGTGAACAATCTAGGCCAACATAGCTGAACTGCAAAGTGAGCTGAATTGGAGAATTTTTCCAAATCAGCTATTTTGGCCTAGATTGTTTACTTCTCCTGCCTTCTCCAAACCTTTCATCCTTTTGTGAATAACCCTGCTAGAGTTTTGTAGTGCTTTTGCTGCCCTAAAATAGGCCCAAAACAAAATGCTATTCATTTGTATGGCCATGTTCTGATATGAGCATTTTGTCACTTGAAGCAAAATGCCTGTCACTGGAAAAAAAGCACAAACGCTTCTTTTTGGCAGGTGAAGCGTTTCTTGGCCTCATACACATCAATGTAAATTATCAAAAATTTGTTTACATCAATATGTAACAGTCTGCTCACACAAATGTGTTGCTCATGTATGGCCTGAAACATACGCAAAAACAAGCAAAAAACGTAAAGCGAAATCGCTGTCACCTAGGTGTGAATGGCGCCTAAAGGAATGTACTACAAGTGCAGTGATGTCACTACACTTGTATTCCCCTGAGAACTACAAATCTCTCTGCCACGGTGGCTAATGGAACTTGCTGTTTCTTGATTCATGGGTCTTGTCAAAGTTGCGATCTGACCATGTTTCTATAATAAGAGTGTAACACGAAACACCCATGCAATACCTATTTGCAACACATGCACATCTTCCTATGTTTTCTCTTTTAAATGCTGCAAATACAAACAAAAATATCTGTCAGATATCCACTGAGCTCCTACCTTCCTATTTAAATTGACAACACTCTGCTGTACTGAAACTCCAACCAATGTTATCAGCCATGTCCAGTTCTCTTCTACTAAATGTATTTAATGGAGTAAATGAGATGGGGACTTGTTCTGTTGTCATAGGCAGGGCCATCCCTCTAATGAGACAGCCTGAGGTGGTGACATTGGGTGGTGGTTTGTGTGCCTCCCTCCCCCATTCTGGACAGAGCATCCCAGGTGGTTAAACACTCTTAGCAATCGGTAACATTCTAGCTGTCATCCTGCCCAGGTCCTGGAAACTAATGACCTCAGTGAGTGTGTATGCTGGAAAGAGCCAGAGGTACCGTGCACCACTGGCAACCCCCACTCCCCTTCAGAAACATGCACTGCTGGCACCCGCCCCAGCACCCCCATTAATGTGCAATGCCAGCACAACCCCCAACAGGAAAAACCAACAAAGATTACACACCCACTATGACCAGAACAAATGAGTAAAATAAAAAAATCAGCAGAAGATTTTCGAACAAGCCCGTGATGTATATACCTCAGGATTTTTCTCTGATCTTCAGTTTGAGAGTGTTAGAAAGTTAATTATATTATATAAACTAACATAATTACTAATAGGTCATTTATATTTTGCCCTGTCAGCTCCTTGTGGCGGTCACTTCTCTTCTCCCAGTGGAGTCATTCTTTCTCCTGGATGGCCTGGGTACTATAAAGACTCGTTGAACTGTGAATGGGTGATTGAAGCCGAACCTGGACGCTCCATTAAAATCACATTTGAAAGGTTTGATTATTTTCAAATTCCTACATTAATATTTCACAAGTACTCTTTCTCATATTTTGGGACATTTATGCATGTGTACATTTATAACATATTTCCTACAGTAAAAATTTTTACCTGACATGCTCACCCTTAGATATTATGACACCTCTGTGTTGCAGAGGTGTCATAATATCACCACTTTTATCCACTTTTATCACCACTGTTATTAAATAGGGGTTGTACCAACTAAGTTGTTCTCTACCAAGGCAAACAGAGGGAAGTGACTAGTCATCAGCATTGCCTGTGGTCTCCCTGCAGCTGACCTTCCCCTTTTACTGATGAACATGTTCTATACTGTTCTATACTGTGTCTCTTTATACTGTATACTGTATCTACTGTGTCTACTGTGTGCAGTGCAGTAAGGCTGAGTGGAAATATATTATCCTTGAGTGGCACATTTGCATCTATTTATTATAGTAACAAAGTGCAAGCAGGTGTAAAAATGTAAACTTCACTTAAAAAAATGTAAAAGCTTAAATAATGATTTAAATATATGCATATTAAAGCCTCACTATTGATAATTAGGCTGTGTAAGGGTTATCACTCAAGTAGTAATGATTAAAGTGCCACTAAACTCTGGAGCTAAATCTTAAAAATGCATTCAAGTACCTTAACTATTAACTAGGGATGCACCGATACCATTTTTTCTATATCGATTACGTGTACCGATATTTTGCTGCCGGTACTCGCTGATACCAATACCGAGTACCAAGTACCAATACCGGTGTTTCTGAAGGCATGGAGCTGGCTTTCCAGGCAATCAGGAAGCCGGGCAGCGAGAAATGACCTGACTCCTGGCTTCCTGGTTGCCTGGGATGACGGCTCCATGCTGATTGGTTGGAAAGCCATCTTCCCAGCCAATCAGCATGGAGCCGGCTTCCCGGCCAATCAGGAAACTGAGAGGCGGCACATTGCTCGCCATCCGACTTCCTGATTGCCTGTGAGGCTGGCTCCATGTTCCCCCATGGTACTGTCGGTCAGAGGAAATCTTACTCTGACCAGAAGTTCCGGTATTGGGGAAGGTATCGGAGCATTTGGGCGAGTACATCTCTTGCTCCCCATAGTCCCTGTGTGTTGTAAAGTATCCATCGCTCAAAGCTCACGCCTGTGATGGACTACAATCTCACATTTAGTTTACTAATTTGGATTGAGATTGTGGTCCATTATGAGAGTGAGCTTGGAGTGATAACTACTTTATAACACACACCATGGAGAACAAAGGTAGCCACCCTCCAGAAGGAAGGACAGTGTCAGCACCAATTTAGAGATGATTTGAGGATCCACAGCTGTGTGATGCACAAATAAACTGCATTGTTGCTATTAGTTACTGAAAATACGTGCAGAGATTCTTAACTGCCAGTTTATGATCTTTTCATTTACAGGTTAAATATACCACTGTCTAATATGACCCATTCTTCTGTCTTATTTTTGTTCTTCCATATTTTTTTACACACACATGTAGCACATTAGGCTGATGGCACATTTTCCCAGCAGTAATGTTTGGGTAGCATCAGTGGGTCATTTTGAAATATTTCTGCCCTCTCCACTGAACTCACTGGTTCTGGGAGTGCATCATATATAGTACATATAGTAAGCTTTTAAATGGCTTAAAATATTGTTTATTCAAGCAATAATTTTCCATCTTTAGATATCTTCTTAAGCACATAACACAGCTGCAGAAATGCCAGTACTGGAACAAATAAATACATAAATAAATAACTTTTGTATTGTATTGAGTCTTTTTTATTTGGAATGCAGTCAAACATTGAATTGAATTCCTAGCTTTATAGCCATTTTTTTAAATGTATCTTAATTGTTTTATTTCTGCAGATTTCAAACGGAACTGAATTATGATGTTCTGGAAGTACACGATGGCCCAAATTTATTATCACCACTTTTGGGTTCATATAATGGCACTCAAGTCCCACAATTCCTGTTCAGCAGCATGAACTATATCTACCTTCTCTTTACAACAGACAACAGCCGATCCAATAATGGTTTCAAGATTCATTATGAAAGTAAGTAGGATGTACATTACTATTCTGACCAGTAATTGGCTAGATTATGGGGTCAAATCACAAAGCTGCCAAAGGATCTAGCAGTAGCTTCGGCTGATCCTTTGGCTACCTTCGGCCCCAGTACCCCTTTGGTTCAGTAGAACCGAAGGGCTGCTGTACGGGCTATACACTATAGCCCGTACAGCTCCCAAAGTTGGCCGAGGGGCTTAGTCAAGCCGAAGGCATATGCTTTGGCTCGATTGAGCCCAGGTGAAAGTCAAAGCAGACTGTCGTCAGCCATTGGCCGCCGACAGCCTGCTACTGACAGCTGGGCGTAGCCAGCCATCATCTCACGGCTGGCTCCGGCCACTTATACAGACAGATCAGTGTCCCTGGTTACCAGGTAACCAGGGACACTGATCTCCAGACAGCCCAACTCTCCAGGACGCTCGGGGAGTCTCCCGCTATTAGATAGCGGTTCCTGGCTGGCCGGGAGAGAAACACTTTCTCCCAGAAAGTTTTACTCTGCTCGATAGAGCAGAGTAAACCTTTCCCTGCTCTGTTGTCTTTTTTTTCTTTCTGACGTCGGAGCCGCCGGCTGCCATCAGAAACAAAAAACAGCATAGGAATGCATATCTACATTCCTATTAGCTATTTCAATTTGCAATAGCAAATATCAAACTAGCTATTGCACCCGCCCACTGCTGCTGTCAATCAGCAGCGGGACCTGAAGTTCTCCGTCAGGTCCCCTTCTAGTGATTGACAGCAGCAGAGGGTGGGTGCAATAGCCAGCTTGCTATTGGATATTGCAAATTGAAATAGCCAATAGGAATCTAGCTATGCATTCCTATGCTGTTTTTTTTTTTAATTCTGATGGCAACATAACCACCGGGTTCTCAGTGTAATGACTGATCAGCTGTTCCATCATTAGGATTAGAGCTTAGCAGAGCCGGCTTTTTTATATCACCGCCGGCTCTGACAAGCTCTCATTGTAATGACAGCTGGTCCCAGCCAATAGAAAACAGTTGGGCTGTCACTGCTAGCTCTGCCCAATCAGCAGCATTCGGCTATTCACTCACTGCTGTTTGGCAGCTATGAGAATAGGCCGAACAGCAGCGAGTAGCCTGTCTGAGGTTCGGCTCAGCCGATCCAGATGTTGGATCGGCTGAGTTAAACTCCTTCTGCACTTCGGGTCGGCCGTACATGCTCAGCATGTTTGGCCGACCCAAAGCCAGCCGCAGCAAGCCGATGTATGGCTGATTTTAGTCGGTGTATGGCTGAAATCAACCATACAAGCCTGAAGTCAATAGCCGAACAGCGTTCAGCTCACTTCACTTCGGGTGGGTTATTCACTCGGCTGCCTACGTCAGCTTTGTGAATAGACCCCTGTGTCTTTTCAAACACACATTTAGGTGGAACCAGTTTGGAAAATAATGATTCTAAACACTTGCTAGCAGATGTGAAATGAGGCAGTCATTTTAGTTCTGGGTATCAGTATGCATGCTACTTTATAACACATGTTCTACAATGACCAATCAAATTAGTAATGAACCAGAAAAACAATTGTTTACTAAAAAATGCTCTCGTTACAAGTTCTATTTTTTTGTAATAGAAATCCATTAATTTATCCAGCTGTAAAAACTAGATATGAATATCATAAAAATAAATGAAGGACACCCAGTAATCCCAATTCTCACTAGTTAATCTTACACAATAAATAATGAAAAGCAAATAAGTAAATTGAACTGAAAAAAATGATGAGCCTATGTATTTTTTTTCTATCTATGTACTTTAATAGAGGTATGTCTAACAGTTAACTGTTTTTGATGTAGGTGTAACAGTGGATACCCATTCCTGCTTGGATCCAGGGATACCAGTACATGGTCATCGTTATGGCTATGATTTTTCTATTGGATCTACTGTTTCCTTTGGCTGTCAGCCTGGTTATACACTCAGCCATGAAGAACCTTTGTTATGTGAAAAAAACCATTGGTGGAGCCATCCTTTGCCAACCTGTGATGGTGAGATGTTTTTAAAGTTAATTTACAAGTTTCATTTATAAATAAATATTAAGCATGTATGCAATTATTACTTGTTGCCTTTTTTTCTTTTACTCTCTCTCTCTCCCTCTCTGTAAGAGAGATCATCAAGTGAAAAGTGAGTGAAAATCTAATTTTAGTTACTTTGTCATCTTCCAAACATAAGTATGGTCTAGACTGTTGATGTTAAGAGATAATAAACAAGGAATAGTACGATCCCTTTGGATGTTCATGATTCTAAAAGGATAGCACTCAATGAACTTGATGGACTTACGTCTTTTTTTTAACCTGACTGACTATGTAATTATGGATGGGGACACATGGGATTGAATTAGTTACATTAAAAAGATTGTGCCTGCTTCATGCAGTTTCTCTTCCTTGTGTTGTTCTTTGTGAAAATTTGATTTTAATTTGAATGTTATATTAGTCCTTTACATCTCCTACCAAACGATCCCTTTTCCCCAATTCTCTTGACACTACAGGTGAAGTCTTGATATGAAGGGCAACTAACTCTTATAAATTCTATTGTTTGGTGGTAGTGGGCTTTCATTGAGAAACCCTCTAAATAACTTAAAGTATATCCCTGGCAAATATTAAATACTATTGATCATTTAGAAAGGGTGGAGGAATAAGGGAAGCCAGAAGATCAGCTTCAGATTGATAGGTGCATAGTTGTAAACACTCTATTTTCTGGTGTAGATCTTACCCATACATATTTAAACAGTTTAATTAAGCATAAAATGAATTGCTTTACATCTAAAATGACGTAACACCTGTTCACTACAAGGCAATAATGCATAAAATAGGACAGGTCAAGAATGTTATTGCTTATCATTTGATAAAGTCCTTGCGGTCAAGGACACATGCCAGACTTACAGTGTAACTTTCATCATGAACTTCTCTTCATTGTGATACTGATGTTAAGTCTCATATCATTAACCTAACTTTCAGTGACATAAATTTATTTTGACACATGTTAGGCAAAATGGCAGGAAAATATGCACGTCAATCTAATTTAATCATATACACAGTAGCTTTGAAAAGTGACATTGGGCCAGAGGGCTTCTTATGATTACACTCAATTAAAATATTAAAAACACATGTTACACAAACATGAAGGTCATAGCAAATAGTATGTATCTGATAGCATCAAGAGAGACATGGGAGTAAGGTTGTAGAATTTAAGGTCCCCATTTTGTGAGTGTGTACTGCAACTGGAATTTATCAATGAATTTGATTTTCAGATCTTATGTTTCTTGAAGCTATTGTATTTATCTGAAGCACTTTTGATTGTAGTGATTTTTATAAGACATAATGATTGAAGTAAACCTGTCATGGGAGAAACATGGAGTCTGGCATTGCTGATCTCTCATTATTAAAACGTTAGCCATCTGGCTTTCATGTTGATCCTCTTGCTTCAGTTCTTTGACTCGGTAACCCAGAAAGAATAAGGAAAATTACTTTTCTCTGACTTTGCTGAGCTGCACAGTTCCAGGTTAGAGGCTCAGTGAGTATTGAAGTTAGTGGGATTAAATTACCAAGGAGTAAAGACTGCTTACTTAGCAGATTTAATGTTTACTGAGCTTAATAAATAAGGTAATGCTGTATTCACTTTACCCTTATTTTGTCTGGCAGCAGGAACTTGGCAACTTGCAAAAGGAGAGATGGGATAAGCTCAGGTATACAAAATGGATGATGCATAATCAGGAAGATGAATGCGGTGCAGTTTATTAGTGAAGTTCACAGTTCTTTTGGGGTACTTGTACATAATTAACACTTCTAGATATCCCCTATAAGATAGAAAATCTTCACTTTTTGAGTCCACTTTAAACAAAAAAAAAATATTTGTTATAAGCTGACAGAAGGATGGATTTTTTTTTAAACATCCATCATGAATACCAGTAGACCAGATAGGGGTCTGACACTTGTACTTTTATTTTCAGATACCATATAAGTGCATATTTAATACATTTGATATTTTATATTTCCCTTGTCGTTTCCTTTGATTTACCTTTGTTCATAACAAATGAGCTGCTTCCAGTGTCCTACTTCAATGACTGATAATTTAATCATGCTGCTTTTTACAGTATGCCGGCACAGTTCCATCACCTAAACTGGTTCCTTTTTACCAGTGCCAATGAAATATAGTAGCCATGTAGGAATACTTTCATACTGAGTCTTATTGAAAACACTGATCAAGATATGATTTAAAGTAGCCAAGTTTTTTTTTGTTTGTAAGGACAAAGGAAAATAAAAGTTACAACAAAGTCCTTGAAAAGTTTATATCCTAAATAAACCATGAGGAATATTAATGCCTTTCTTGTGGTAGCTCCTGAATGCTATTTGGATGTTTTATTTCTGAATTGAGCTTACCTGCCTAGAGTCTTCCTTGATTGATCGGAGGATTTATAAAGATTGTAAAGTTTACACTGCAACGTGATTGGATGAATAGTCCTAATGGGTAAACAAAATCTGCTGAGCATTCCCAGGGCCGTTTAATTCCCAAAATTCTATTACAATTGATTTTTCTTTACAGGGTTAGAATTATAAACAGGTTTGGTAACATTTTTACTGTCTTTTAAATGCACATAATGGTCTAAAACTTAAAAGCAGACCTAAATGCACTGTTTGATTGGGTGACTATGTGTCAAATAAGGTTTAATGTTGATAAATGTAAAGTTATGCTAGGGGAAGTACAATTGGGAGAGTCAATAATCAGTAAGGATCTGAGTGTCCTATTAGGACATTGAGGTCACTACAAAGGACAAGGGAGCATTCTTTTAATCTGGAGGAAAAGAGGCTTAACCTTAGGGAATGGATTCTTCACAGTTAGAGCTGTAAAAATGTGGAATATGCTACCCCAGGATCTAGTTCTAGCTAACTTGGATAATTGTTTTAAAAACTGAATGCATTCCTTAAGGTGAAACAAAATACCTAGATATTAACATGTTATAAGGAAAAAAACAACAGAGATTGTTAATCAAGGTAATAGCTAATTGCCTTAGGGAATAACAAAGAAATGTTTCTCGCTGTGGGAACAAATTGAACTATAAACTTTATAGGGGTGTTTTGCCTTCATCTGGATCAACTGTGGGTAACTGGGGGCCACTGTGAGCATGGGGTTCTGTTAATAGGGTTTTTCTATTTGACAAAATAGAAAAACCCTATAACAAAAAGTTTTGCTCTATAGGTTGAAATCGATGGACTTGTGTCTTTTTCTCAACATGACTACGTAACTATGTAAAAAAGAAATCTGTAGACTACTTTGTATATTTTTGGCCTGGTCATCACCACCTTTACAGGTTTCGATATAGGTTAATTACATAATTCTAACTTTAATGTTTATCTTACAATCACTTTATGCATAACAGCAAAAGTGATTAGGGAACAAGCAGAAGCTATAGCACACTTAGAAAATAGCCAAATAGTCTTTCCATACTTCAAAATACCATACTTGTTCAAATGTTATCTCCAGAAAACAAACTCAGAACGAACACACTGCTGCAGTCTGCTCCTGTCCCAGTACACAAATGATTGCATAATGTAATTCACTGTTTTGTAGACTGAATTGTAGATTGTACTAAATTCTTCCTCCAGCATACATATTGGAGAAAAAGTGTAGCTATTGCCCACAGGAATCAACATCCTTGTACACTGACCATGGTGGTCATAGCGTGACAGTGGATTTTAAAACTGGACTTTTTTTGTCATTCTCAAAGTGATATCTGCGTTTTTCCAACTTTGGTCACTTTTTCATATGTCACCAACAATTACATTGATGAGCTTTCAGTGGGAACCAGCAGATTAAATCACCTGAAAAATATATATTGTTTAAGTCCCTGAAGTAGAACAGTATATGTCTTTATTTCCTCCTACAGAGTCATATTGATGGTGTCACTTTCTTATACCTGTATTTCCCAGCTGTCTCTGCAAAATTATATATGATACCCATCTAGAAATAATGACACCTTCTTTTGGCTTTGTAATGATTTGGGCAATTCCATGGCTATCACAGGAAATAGGAAAATGCTATCCAAATGTAGGAGTATTAGAAACTCCTGTAATGGAAGGAACTTGATGACAGGAGCAGGGTAAAATCCAGGGAAGTGTAAGATGAAAAACTCTTAACACACTGCAAACACAAAGAAGATCATGTACAGTGTAAGAAATAAATAAAAGGAAGTACACTATGTTGTCAGCTGATGTAAATGTAACTGGGGGAGCAGAAGCCAGGACAGTTTGGTCATCACCATTGCTGTTGGAGGTATAGGTATAGACTACCTATACTTGTGCTGCCATATATGACTTATGCTGCCTTCTATAAACAAAAGGAACACATGGAGTTGTAATAAATGGGATACATACAAACAGACAGTATCAGAAGCCAGATCAGATGCCATAACCGATATGGGTCAGATCAAAATAGGCAAGGCAGATATGCCTGGCCTAAACACAAGAAACTAAAGTTCTGGAGTTAGTACAGACTAACTCAGACAGATGCCCCACAGATTAGTTGCATGTGAAGGAAGACTGACAGTGCAGAAGTTAGAATAAAATAATAAAAGCACACCAGATTTGAGGCAATTAAATTACAAGTTTTGATGAGGAAAGGAACCAGCATTTGCTATGGAAGGAGCCAGCATTGTTATAGCTTTGTCATTGTCATTATTTTTATTTTTTTTTTATTTTGTGTGTTTGCCATATTATCTGATAGACCTTTTATTAGGACTACATCAAATTATTAAGTTAAAATAAGTTACGATCTTTTATGGAAATAAATATTTTGCGTGAGTTTACTGTTAACTTAGCTATGATACTGAGTAGTACAGCCAGTTCCAGCATCAATTTTAACAACTGCATGGTGTAAAAGGAACCAGAACAGCTGGCTCTGCACTGTTTAAAAAAAAAAAAAAAACTTGTACAATTTCTTTTGCAGCTGATATGTTTACTATCGATGGCTAAACAAATGTCAATTCAAAAGAACAAAGTTTCAACATGTACTTTTGAGTGAAAGTTCTGTATTTGTGTATTTTAAGTGGAAATCCTTTTTAAAGACTGCCTGGCAGCAATAGTTGTAATGATTTTTTCAATATCCTCGTTTGTCTATGTCAAACTTATTTTTTTCTTGGCATAATTATTAAAAGTAACTAGTTCATGCTTTTCTTCTTTCAGCTTTATGTGGTGGAGATGTCAGAGGTCCAAGTGGCACAATTCTGTCTCCTGGTTACCCTGAGTTTTACCCAAACTCTTTGAACTGTACCTGGACAATTGAAGTGACCCACGGCAAAGGTAAAACTTCCTCTATAGAAATGTGTTTATTGTTATTGCATTGTTCCTATTAATAACAAGCCATTATTCAGATACACTAAAATATCATATATATTAGAAATTACGAGAGAATTTTGTGATTTTCATATAATAATTATCCTTACACGATAACTCACCTTTAAAACATGTGCATGTATATATATATATGTTCACTCTCATTAAAATACCCCATGGAAACACAAGTAATCTACTGGCTCTTGTAAATACAGATGATACAAATTTCTTGCTGAAACACATAGCAAACATAGAAATACTTGCAAACTCATCTGACTTTGGTAAATGTAAATCTGGTTGTAACATTGTAATTGCACTTTGTTGCATGTTCATTGTTGTGTTCACTTCTCTGTTATATATGCTTGTAAATGCTGCATGTTGTAGCACCAGCAGATTTTGAGTTTTCCGAGCCAAAATCTTGACACTGCGTTTTCTTGACGTGGGAGAAATAGGATTCAACATAATCAGAAAACCTTTAGAAACCTTTTCTGCCTTCTCTCACCTTTCCTTCTGTCCTCTCCTTTCCTCTTCTCTATCCTCACCTTCTCTTACTTCTCCTCCTGTCCTCTCATTCCTTCTTTTCACCCCTTCTCTCCTCTTTCCTCCTCTCTCCTCCTTCCCTATCTTCTCCACTCCACTTATATGTCCTTCTCTCTTCTCCCAGCCCTTTCCCTCTCTTCTACTTTTTTGGTTACTCCCTTCTCCTTGTTTCACATCCTCTCTTTTCCTCTCCTCCTTTTCTTTCCTCTTTTCTCCCCTTTCTTCCTACTCCTCTCTTCCATTCCATTACTTGCCTGTACCATCCATTCCTTACCATCAACCTGCAGTATTCTTTAATTCCAACCATTATTTCCTATATTCTTTTAAAACCTATCATAGAAATATTTACAGAAGCATATTACTGATTTGTGTTATGTGGTAAATACTGTTGCACTTACCTAATTAGTGTCTACAGTATATAAATGTTGGTTGCCAGTGCATGCTTCACTCCAGGGTGACTGTTATTGGTGGGAATTAAAATCTTTTTTACCTTCTCTCCCTGCTACTAACTATCATGTTTTGCATATTTTTGTTCTCTGTTCTTGCTTCAACTCCATTAAGAGAATTGCACAGTGCATTAAGTAGCATCATGAAGAACAAGGCAGTTGATGGCATTGCATTGATTAGGAGCACTCAAGTTGTGAAAGCTGTTACATTAAAAGAAACTTAATTGGAACAAAACCATTCATTCTCTACATTATGTCTGTGTATCATCTCTGCCTACAATGTCTTTTCTTATGTGCAACAATTATTGCATCATGGTTTTTGATGACCTGCGTTTTCTTACCACTTTCGAGGAAGAAGTTTTAAATTTTTTATGAACCTGCTTTTTGTCTGTGTATCTATTTAAAAGGGTTATGAAGTCTTCTTTTTTTAGAGAAATATATGTAAAAATGATCACTTTAATATTTACAAACAATACAACAATTCTGAATCACTCCAGCTACCCAGCACAGAAAATGTAACTCTAAATTAACATCTAGATTTAAATTACAGGTCAAAGCCCTTTATAGTTAAGTTCTCTTTGATGCAAATGTGAGTAGACTTTGTTCATGGCAAGAAAAAATAATTATGTGATTTGGGGATCCATATATACACCCACATAATTCATGTGAAGTATTAATATTAGAGTTAGGTCCAATGTAGAGGTTCACATTCACTGCCGCATTGGGTTTGGAGTGAACTTTTCATGTTTGTCAATCGCCCAAAAGGTGAACTTATGGGCAAGTTCTTGAATGAGTAAGGGGTACAAAGTACCACTACTAAGTACCAAAAAAATGAATGTGTAAATAATGACACATTTGAAAAGTCCAATGTTAAGTAATAAAAACCCTCCAAAATGTCCCACGCTGCACATCCATTGTCAGTCACATTATCCAGCAATCCAGATTTTTGTTGCATTGAAATAGGCACTCCAAGGTCAAACATGCTGGATGTCTTTTATTCAGACGCTAGGCAATCATAGAGACACAGTGGAAAAAAGCAACGTTTCGTGTCACTATGATTGCCTAGTGTCTGAATAAAAGATGTACAGCATGTTAAACCTTGGAGTGCAGGTGACTATTTCAATACTTCTGTGATTTGTGTGGCGCCATCCGCAGGTCATACCAGCACCCACCTTCATACTCGGATTACGGTCTGGAGTGTGGTGGGTCAAAGATTATTTGCAGATATGTGTCAATCTCAGTGAATCACGCCTGCAGACCGTCAAAAGAAAAAACCCCAACCGACAAGTTTGCACATTATGGGAGACTATCACCGAATGACAGCTCCAGGCCCTACATTGGAATATAAACAAAGAGGTGGTGTATAACTGCTGGTGTTATTGACCAAAAATAGACAGGTCCATTTCTGGTCAATGACATCACTGGTTTACCCTGCCCTTTTACAATTAGATGTCAGCTAGGGACCCTTCATTCTACACAGTCTAGGTATGGAAGTGCATGTGGTTAACGCCATATAACAGGACTGGGCCAATAAGAGCTGTCATACATGGAGTCTATAGCCCTCTATGAGCTACAACTCCCACAACTCATTGCATATACAGGCCTTTCAAATGGATCCAGATTAAAAAGCTTCAGGTGAACAGTGACGGCAGCCAATCAGCTGCCATCACTGTTTGAGTATTCTGTCAGTGAAACCACCATCACTGTCAGAATACATGGATGGGCAGAGATTTGCCCATCCATTAATTTTTCGTTCAGCCACTGAACAAAAAAATATGATTTTGTATGGCCATCATAAGTACTAAAGGTGCACATTACATTACATTAATACAGCCCCTCATCCACTCAACTTGTTCCATGTGGTGTAGCCATTAGGATCCATTCTTTTTTAATCATAGAATTTTTTTTATGTTGCATTACAATATGCAAAAAAAGCTTTGAATTGATATAGAAAGAACTTCAGCATGCTTTGCATGAGAAATATAAATTTAGCATCATGGCAAAGAATATGACAAATTGCAGAATAAAATTAGTAATGGGTGCCTAAATTAACATCAGTTGATTAAAGCTATCACTAAGGAAACAGGGAGACATGTATTTCTTCATTTTGTTGGCCTTTAATACTTACATAAGTTTAAATAATTCTTGGAAGACAATACCACCAAGAGAATAGGTTGGCATCCTTGGGCTCCATTCCCACAGGAGCGGTTGTCCACTGTGCGAATATGCGTGGAAAAGCTCTAAACATTAAAAAAAATGTGCTTTAAAGTGCATTGTTCAGACATTTGCGGTGGCCATGCGGTATGAAACCGTGTGTCCCACAAAATAGTACAAGCCCAATTTTTGGGGCGGATTCCGCACATTTGCAACTATAGTAATAGCCAAATATGAGCCAAAAAAGATTTGCGTTTGTGTGCCGTGCAGTCTTCCACACAGAAAACGCAAATACTATTATGTGGAGCCTAAGTAATATCAAAGATAAGCAAAGACGCTTAAGGTATTTATGAGCTCTGTGGTTAAAATTCTCTACAATAATACTTTAGTCTTTCATTGTCTCTGATCTCAACTTTGATCTATGGTGCTGTTAGGAAAACTCAGATGAGGTGAAAATGAGTCCTGGCTCTCTGGTGACATGGAAAATTAATGGTAACACCAATCTTCTTTGGAAAAAAATCTTATGTTATCTATGACATTTAGGTTAAAAATAAACATGCCATTTCAAGAATAAATCCAATTCATCAGATGATTTGGGGAATCCTCTCCAAAATGTTGTGAGCTGTGTACTGACATGTCATATATAAAAAGCTACACTTGGTATTATGATGAATTCCATTTAAATATAATTTTTATAGCACTATCATCTGATGCGGTGCTGCACACAGTAAGTAAAACATGTGAAAGGAGGTCTCATAGTCTCTGAAGTAAGTTGCTTTATATTATGTCAAAAAATGTTTGCCCTATATATAAAACACGCTCATATATTTACAGAGGTTCCAATAGTGGTCCCCACCTTTTAATCTATTATATAATATAGAAAAAGTGTAACCTCCATAAAGAGTGCTGTGACCCCTCCTCGACTCTCTGTAAAGACAATTACCCTGGCAATGACATAATATGGAATTTCCCAAAAACTATGTAATCTTTAATAAATTAGACCCACCACCAAAGATAAAAATACTTAAAAATCTCTCCGAATAGGGAATAAATACTGAGGTAGAGCCTGTTATGACCAATTTTTGTATATGATGTAATGCTATTATAAACATGTCAATGTAGGAGTCAATGCAAGTATCAATCTTAAAGGTGTTTGATGGTGCAAAGTTCAAATATAATTGAGTATACAAATGCAGTGATTGTGTTAGAATAAATTGCTGTTTGCAAAAAATCCAAAACCAAGACTCTGGTGTGGTCTCCATTATAGGACATGCACCACACAGTATACAGTATATCCGTATCCAGCACCAATCCTTATATGAGCAACAAACTTCACTGAGATCAACTGGGTTTAGCCAATATCTTGCCCAGAGAGGATGGCAGAGCATAAATCCATGGAAAGATAACAATTCACAGCAGCTCAATACATCATGGGGGCCAAAATACAGTAGCTCCCTTTTATGGAGGTTGCACTTTTTCTATATTAAATGCTGTGCAAAGTAGTAGAAAAAATTGAGAGGAGTACAATATATATAAGAGAAATACAATATATAAAAATGTTACAAAAGACTAATACATACAGTGTACAGGTTTTTTTTTTTAAATCAAACTATGAAACAACAAGAAACAATGTAAAAGGAGGGTCCTGCCCATTTGTGTTTACAGTCTAGAGCAGGGGTCAGCAACCTTTTACACACCGAGTGCCATTTTTGCAACCATCAGACAACCGAGTGCCATTTCAACCTTTCTCAAGAAACCCTGGAATAAATGTTTAGGTCTAAGGGAACCCCTGCTGCTAATAAATATTATATCAACAGCTCACAGTGCATTCGTATGTATGCTAAGTTGAAAAAGTAACAGAAAAAAAGTGACATAATTAGAAAAATAATAATGACCAGAAAATAATTGCAGAGAGTGAAAATTGTAGTTCTCCCTAACATTGGTGGTTTGTAGAGAAGTGACCCTTATACTGGTGTTGAGTGCCCTTGGTACACTGCTGGTCATTGAGAACAATACTCCTTAAATCTGTGGTCAGTGCAAAGAATGACACCCTCACGATAGTGGAAAAGATCACTGATGTCACTGGTAGTTTATCTGTTAGGCAGAGATTGCGGATTGTTAAAGGAAAAGGTGTTAAAAGTTATAGTTCACTTTTTTCAGGAATTAGACGCCACCAGAATAGAAAAGCATGTCCCCTACCCATGTTTCTGCGTAGAAGAGGTCTGGTGTTGTAAATTAGCTAGAGCTCTCTACTCAATAGAGAATATAAGCTTTGTTGATTGGAAAGCTCTAGCTCTGCCACAGTAGGAGGCATGTCAGATTTCAGGCGGGAGACCACTGCTTCCACATATGAGCATGCTTCCTTCTCTGCAGAATGCTGTTTATACCTGATGTTTATACCTCTAAACAATCCTATGTGGATTTCTGCTATTCAGCGTGTATAAGGCAATTGCGATTCTGCTCTAGTAAAAAATGAAAAAAAAAAATTTCTATCCTATGCAATGCTTTTGGTACAGAACATAGCATATTGACATCATTTTACATACACACAGAGCGATTTTCATAGTTATCATTACTATTCAACAGTATATAGTTGTGTAACCACCGTACATGTGTTTTCTATATAAAAAATGATATTCATTTGATTAAGAGTTTTTTTTTATTATTAAACTTTATTTAAGTCTGACATTACTTGACAACTTCCATCAAATTCATTCTTCCATAAAACTATGTGTGATGGTCTCATGTGATTTACCCTTCACTTTTAGCACTTACAACTCATTCATTCCAATGTCTTACACTGACCTTGCTGAGATGTACAGTTCTATCCTGTCCATACTAGATCTTTTTTAACCATCACAGTCCAGCTACCCTGACTTTTCCCCTAACTTGTGACCTTGGCTCCATTCCCAGACTGTCTTTTTCTCTAGTAAATGCCTTGCTATGAAAAATAATTAGCAGATTTTTTAAATTTGAGATTTAACCCAATAGCTAACTTTGATTTATATGTTCTATGATAGGAGTAGGAAACCTCAGCAGGCCAGCTGTGGTGGAACTACAAAAAAACATCATGCCTTTGCCTCTTGAAGTCATGGCTCTGGCTTTCAAAGTCTTCTAATACTTCAGGGGATTTGTAGTTATACCCTAATTGGTGTGCAAAGCTTGCCTCCTCCTGCTCTATGCTAACATTTTTTACAATACTGTATTTAAAAAAGTAAGATACTGAAGAGTGTCATTTAATCAGAGCTACAAAAGTACATGGTCACAGCTTTCTTAGTTTTTACTGGTTTGAAAACACTGGGTCTCGTTAAGTTTTTGGACTGTAAAAATGCTTTTTAATTGGGCTGCTGCAGAAGCATCAGTTAAAGCTGAACTTCAGCCTTACCTTTTTATTTCTAAAACTTGTAGTCATCTATATCTGTTAAATCTGAGTACACTCAATTCCCTGCAAACTTAAATCTCCCTAGTATAACCCTTTGAAGCTGCTTCAGCTATCTTGAGCCGACCTTCAGTTGTTGTCTAAACAACCTCCATCATTCATCAATCACTTGAACCATGGATCCATAACATCACTGGCCCCTTCCCCCAATTATTAGCATTCTCTGCCATCAATGATTTTGTTCCTGAGCTTTATGTGAAAGAGCACATCCAGGACAACCCTTTAGGTGTGCCTGCAACAAGTCAACTAATTGGCACATAAAAGGTCTGCAAAGGTGTTTGAGTTTTCTCCATCATAAATTGCTTAAATAGAAATGCTTAAATAATAACGACTTTCCTGTTAGCTTTGAAATAATTTGGAGACAAAAAATGTCTCAAACAAATGTTTTTCTTTTCTACACTGCATGCAATTATTATTGCAATTCTAGATATTCTTATTAATATGTCACAATACAGGCCTGATTTTATGTAGGTTTTGGAAATTGTTTCACATTTGCCTCTGCCCCATTTTTTTGTTATTTGCCCCCATTGTGTCACTGACTGCTGGTTCCACTCCAATGCATGTCTGAATAATGAAATATCTACACGTTTGGCTATCAGCCCAACATGTGTTTCTAGTCTTAACCCAGAGGGCTAATACAGTACTCCAGTCCTCCCCTGCTGAGGAACCTGTTGATTATCTGTTGTTTATGCCTTCCAACTGCCTGTACAACTTTTTTACTGTACAGAGCAGCTAACCATAGAAGGAAGAAATGGTTTCATTTCTCCTAAACTGCAAAGAGCCTCTTGACTCCTCTCAACATCCCCCCACATAGAAAAGGGCCAGAAAAATTAAAAAAAGGAAAAAGTTATCACAGTTTGCAGATTTTGGGGCTTGGTGCTGCCTTAGGCAATGGCCCTCAATTCCAAATATGGTCTTCTATCCATTGTGTAACATTTGACTGAAAAAAGTGGAAGCTAATAAAATATTTTTCTTTACCTTATGTCATTTTCATTTATTTTCATTTGTCCGTAATGAAATACATGACTCTTCTTTTAATACAGTAATACCATAGTTTAGTTGTTTACAATAATATTAACTGCACCTTTAAATTGCATTTATTTCTTTTAGGCGTTCAGTTCACCTTTCACACCTTTCATCTGGAAGATCTTCATGACTACTTACTAATCACTGAAAATGGTAGCTTTACCCAGCCTCTGGCACGGCTCACTGGCTCTGAACTCCCTGCAGCAATTAATGCCGGTCTCTATGGAAATTTCAGAGCTCAGTTGCGATTTATTTCTGATTTTTCAATATCATATGAAGGATTCAACATTACCTTTTCCGGTAAGGAAATTGTCAGCATACACTTTAAAATGTAATAGTCATCTTTCCTCTTCAATAATTTCAACAAAGAAAAAAGTTTAATAAGTCCTAAAAATAAGTTACCCTTATTTAAGAGAACTTTTATTTTCTATAGCTTTAATAAAAAATGTTGCCTCTTTGTTTCCACATAAATATTCATACAAATCCATAGTAGATATAGAGCACTACCTGGTCTTAGAATGGAGATAAGTCAAAGCATTGGCGTTTTATTTATGTATTTTATGTATCTCTATGAATAAGCCGTTTGGTGAAGCATGTTAGAGTTGGAGGAGGCTGTGTTTGTTTACAACATGTTTTGACTTCGGGAATAAGACTTGTCCAGTTTGTGATATCAGTCAGTTGTGTGGCAATTGTTTACAAAGTTAAAAAAAACTTATTCAAGCACAGATTAAAGGGTGCTAAAACCCAAAAATAAAGAAACATTGCAAATAGTAGCTTATCCTCCATTAAATGTTGTGGGTTCAATCACATTGTCTTGCTAGTAAGAGTGTTTCCTGCAGTTCCTTTTGCTAGGGTAAACTTGTAGTCCACAGTGTGAACACCCATCCTAGAGTTACAATGCTGCTCCTGCTTAGAGAAGCACTAGGGAAGCTTGATTTCTATTAAGGCAACATAGTCTAAGATAACTGGGAATTGCATTGATAAGGGACAAAGCAGAAGCTGGCACCAAGAGCCCTTGAGACTTTATCTCCCATCATCCTTATGGTCATTAAAACAAAGTGCATGCATGACCAGTATAGAATTGAATCTGGTCTCTCCACCCTCAGCTGCCAATCGGTCCCTGGAGAAGGAGCAGGGGAATAAGCCACCCATGGGGTTCTGAACTGCTTCTTTGTGTTGGTGCTAAGAACATTGGCACATTGGCTTGTAAAGATCGACAAAAGCATGCCTGTAAGGGTTGTTCCAGGGTACCCTTCAAGATAATAGAGAAACCCTGAAAAAAGAAACAGAAGATAGGGACATTTTAAATGGAAATTGTAGAGAGATGTCAGGTGGAAAACAGAAGGCAAACAAAGTAAGCACAGTATGTATGCTGCTATAGGCATGTCTGTATGCCATATGTTTAAGTGGAGGGGTTAATAATCTTTTAAGTTGAAAATATACCAGTGTATTTGCTTTTGGCATTTCCATTAAAGATAGATATACATGGAATGTATATATGCAGAAAAATTTAATCACATATTTACACCATATGTCTTCAACTTGAATTTAAGGTGAAAAAATGTTTAAAGTGTATGCACAATGAAAAAAAGTACTTGTCTGCAATACATGCACATCTCCCCGTGTTTTGTTTCGTTAAAACTGCTGCAAGTACAAAAAAACATGAATTATAGAGATTTATATTGCTCAGAGCTATATTCTAATGTATGACAGTAAAGCTTAACTTTTAGTTTAAAAGATCCTTAACTTTCCTAATAATATGTATATTTATTTATTCAGAATACAACCTGGAACCATGTGAAGATCCAGGAAATCCGCAATATGGAAGAAGACAAGGCATCCATTTTGGAGTTGGAGATATCATAACATTTACTTGTTCATCTGGATATCGACTAGAAGGAATATCAGAAATTGTTTGTCTTGGCGGTGGGCGTCGTGTGTGGAGTGCACCTCTGCCAAGGTGTGTGGGTACGTGGTCAGCTGCTTTCATTTGCTTGTCTGTGTAGTCACTGTTCAGAGATGTTATGCAATTTTATTCTATTTGCACTTTTTTAAAATACCTATAACCAATCTATGACCAGTTTTGCGGGTGAGTTCATGGTGCTGATTTATGGAAGGAAAATAGGCTGTTAATTTTGCAATTTTGCAAGGACATTTGCCCTTTACATTGGAAGTTCCCTCTTATTTTAGTGAATGAGGTGACTTTCATCATCCAGTTTTGTGCAAGCAAGCATACTTTTGTTTACATTTTCCTTGCACATGATTGGATGTTCTTTGCCAAGTGAAATTTCACCACATTCATCAAGCTAACATAAACCTCCCCTGCAAAGTGTAAGTAAATCAAGCCATGTAAAATGTTTAGCTCAACATAAAGCTTATAGATTTGGGTGGACTTTGCTTGACTGAATCATTTGCTGGCTTTTTACATCTCTCACAGACAATGGTGAGATTTCCCTGTGTTACCTATGCCTCTCACCCTTGTACATGTGTCATCCTTTGTCACCTAGATTGTCTATTTATTAAACTGAGCATTTGTATCATCCATCAGAGTACCGTGACACCATCATTTGGTATTGTAATTGCTGTGGCTGTTAGGCAGAAAACATATCTCACCACTGGAATCATGAGAAATATAAGAAACCAGCATGTGATGCAACATGCCAGCAACCACACAAAAGTAGTCTGTTTTAATTGGGTTTTAGGTGTTTTAGTATAGATGTTAGTAATTACATGTAAACAAAAAAATAACAGCATTCATCATTCTTTAAAAACAAAAATTGCTCACAAGATTTTTTTCACGTTGCTGTCGTCCAATGTGTACAACGCTACTATTTTGATTTTTAAATATACAACCGTTTACTTGCAAAGTTAAAGTGTTTCCCTTGCTTGACATTTTTTTTTTACATTTTGGATACAGCATAGGAGGGTAAGAAAATTGTTTTTATTGCTGTCTATCTCCTTTAATTTTGGAGAGATCTCCTCTTACTTCCTTGCTGTGTCTCTGGAACAGTGAAAATCCCCCCAACAGGGCATAAACAGCAATAAAGACTTGAACTAGAGATTTGAATATAGCAAATTAAATGGGGTAAAGACCATGGGCAGTATAAAAACTATATTAAAATACTTATGTTGATCTATTAGATGCATGGTCCAACACCTGTGTAGCAACCATAGTTTTATCATCACCAATAACATTACAAAGATTAAGGTACGGCAGAGTAGACTTTTCACAAAAGCACATAAGTAAACTGTCACAATGCTTTTTGACCACCATTGAATCCAATTGAAAAATCACTAAACGTTCCCACAGGCAAGTTATCACAGAATGGATACTTAAACCTAAACATACTTAAGATTGAAGCAGTGAAATACAGTTAATGTATTTCTTGAGTCTGTGACATCAAGAAAGTTGAGCTTAAGGCATTATGTACCATGATTGTTGCTTCCCAGTAATGATTACAGTGCAGCTGTGGTGTGAGAAAAATATCAGCATCAGTAATGTTTAGTTATATTGGATTCTGAAATCTTTATTGGTGTTAGTCCAGTCTGTCTGTGCTGTACACTCACAAATGTGCTAAGATAGATCAGAACGCTAGAGATTTTGTTCTGAATATCTGGAAAAATGTGGAGAAGTTACACAAATAAAGACTTAGCCATAGGCAGCCGAGTGACTAACCGACCTGAAGCAAAGTAAGCCGAACGCTGTTCGGCTTTTCACTTCAGGCTGGTACGGCTGATTCCAGCCATATATCGGCTAAAATCAGCAATACATCCGTTGGCTTCGGCTGGCTTTGGGTCGGCCGAACATGCTCAGAATGTTCGGCTGACCCGAAGTGCAGAAGGAGTTGGACTCAGCCGATCCAACATCCAGCCGAACAGCAGTGAGTGAATAGCCGAATGCCATTGAGGGTCATTCGGCTTGGCTGTTCTGCTCAGTACCTCTGTGGTACCAAGCAGAATAGAAAAACAGTTTAAAAAGTAGTAAAAAATAATATAGAAAACCATTGGGCGGAGCTAGCAGTGACAACTAGCTCCGGCCAGCTGTTTTCTATTGGCCAAGAGGTTCTGCTGCCGTCAGATTAAGAACAAAAATCACCATAGGAATGCATAGCTACGTTCCTATTGGCTATTTCACTTTGCATTAGCCAATAGCAAACTAACTATTGTGCCTGCCATCTGCTGCTGTCAATCACTAGAGGGGACCTGATGGAGAACTTCAGGTCCCCTCTGCTGATTGACAGCAGCTAGTTTGCTATTGGCTATTGCAAATTGAAATAGCCAATAGGAATCTAGCTTTGCATTCCTATGGTGATTTTTTTTAATTCTGACGGTAGCTAATGACTCCGATGTCAGGAGTAAAAAAAAAAGAAGAAAACAGAGCAGGGAAAGGTTTACTCTGCTCGATCGAGCAGAGTAAACCTTTCTGTGAGAAAGTGTTTCTCTCCTGGGCGGCCGGGAGCCGCTATCTAATAGCGGAAGACTCCCGGAGCGTCCGGGAGAGTTGGGCTGTCTGGAGATCAGTGTCCCTGGTTACCAGGGACGCTGATCTGTCTGTGCAAGTGGCCGGAGCCAGCCATGACATGACGTCTGGCTCCGCCCAGCAGTCAGTAGCAGGCTGTCGACCGTTCGGCCAGTTCCGGCTTTCCCCTCGGCAATCGATTTACAATTCTCTGCTGCTAACATGAATAGGTTAAATCATGATCCATAGTACACAACATGTAGCTGTACTATGGATCATTTAACCTATTCATGTTAGCAGGGCAGAATTGTAACTCTATTACTGTAGTGTACTGGAAGTGTGTACCAGGTTAAATGATCCACAGCACACTCTTCCAGTACACTGCAGCTCCGACAAGCTCTCATGACAGTTCAGCATCCCCTGGTCACTAGGTAACCAGGGGACGCTGAACTGTCATTACACACTGAGAACTCGGCGGAGCCGCCGTGATATCACGGAGGCTCCGCCGTGTTCTCAGTGTAATGACAGATCAGCGTCCCCTGGTTACATGGTAACCAGGGGATGCTGATCTGTCTCTGGTGTTTGGCCAGCTTCCGCTTTCACCTCAGCTCAGTCGAGCCGAAGCATATGCCTTCGGCTCGACTGAGCTGCTCAGCCGACTTCGGGAGCTTAGGGCTATAGTGAATAGCCTGTACAGCAGCCCTTCAGTTCTACTGAACCGAAGGGGTCCTGGGGCCGAAGCTAGCCGAAGGATCATTTGAAGCTAGGGCTAGATCCTTCGGCAGCTTAGTGAATAGACCCCTTAGACTTTATTTGATCAGATGTACATTCTACAGTTATATTTGCAATAATATATAATATTTTATGGTCCATCAGCTATCTAGATATTTAAATGCCATATAATGATTCTTTTTAAATACGTTACTCTACGAGGCATGTCAAAATGTATACCAAACAAATTATTTTGTTTGAATGGCATATGGTATGGATACGATTAGAATAAAATATTTGTTTGGGCTACCTTAATATCAATGTAGAACAACTGGCTTACTTCCAAAGGTATGGTGACACAAACTAAAGGGACAGTATAGGAAAGAGAAAATGAGTGAAATGGAGGACAAAGCAAAGGGAAGAGCCATTTATCATGACCCAATCACACATATCAACTATACTGTACATATCAACATATCAACTACTGTACATATCAACATATCAACTATACTGTACATATCAACATATCAACTATACTGTACACACATTTTTAAGATTGCAAGCTCTCACAAGGAGGGACTTTCTAACCCTCTTGTCATTAACAGTTTTGTAACTGTTCCTTCACCCTCTTTATGATAAAGTGCTGCAGAAATTGTTGGTGCTATATAAATCTTAGATAACAATAATAATAGTAATAATGTTCTGTCCATCATTAAATGACTTCAATTGGCAGGTCCTAAAGATTTATGTCCCTGATCCAGCATCATTGAAGACTTGCCTGAAAAGTAAAGCTGGCCATACAACTATAGATTTTCTGCAGATTTTCTATGGTCATATGGAAAAAGTGCAACAGATTCCTCCCTCTACGCTAAATTGTGTGGATGGAGGAATCTCCCGCTGGGCCAAGCTTCAGTATCTTGCTAGTTGGCTCTGCTGGCTGTCAAAATACCTGAACAATCTGATTAGATGCAAGCATTGATCAGGTATTTTGAGAGCCAGTGGGGCCGACTAGCAAGACACTGAAGCTTGGCCCAGTGGGAGATTCCACCATCCACACAATTTAATGTAGTTAAAGATTTAACATTATCATTGATTTCACACACCTGTGCTGAGTCTTGGGGAGGTAATCAAATGGGATGAATTAAATTGACCACACACATGGCAACTTTTAGGCAATTTCAAACACTTTCAATGGACTGGGAATCGAACATGTAATTGAAGGTGATTGCCTGAAACCAAGCAATCTACCACCCATGAGTGCAATTTCAATCTTATCTGCCTGGTATCATTATTTTATGTCTTTGAGTGTTTTGAGATTTAAAAAAATTGGGTTTGATTTACTAGAAGCAAATAGGCCGTTCAATTTGCAAGGGACTTTGCACGGGAACTTGTTTTTTCTTTGCACATGATTGGTTAATCTTTGCAAAGTGATATTTTGCCACATTTACTAAACTCACTTCCCTTACAACAAAGTGCAAAGTTAACAGCCTATTTGCTTTAGGTAAGATGAGTTGATTCATGACATATGGCCAAGTCTAGAAGGTTATTATTAGCCCGTTTGTCTGTAAAGGCAGTTTGCAATTCAATGTTGCTGCATATACAGTATATACATTTTTCCAGTCCT